GATCCTTACTTAAGTGTAAAATTAAGTTTTAATCATAAAACAATTTCAAAATATTTTACAAAGTATTTCGAACCAATTCAAAGCCAAAAATTCCAGAATACTCAGAGGGAACCGATTCCCCCCATAGGAGGAACCGATTCCCCCCTGAATGGTTTGGCTCCGAGATTTCCAGAATGCTCGGAGGGAACCGATTCCCCCCAAGGGGGTACCGATTCCCCCCTGTTCAACGGTCGAAATATTTGAATTTTACACTTAGGGAACCGATTCCCTATGATAGGGAACCGATTCCCTATGATAGGGAACCGATTCCCCCCACTGTCCAAGCTGTTTTATTAAATGTTTTCACACTAAAACGGCTATAATATCTTCTCTAATTATCCCCAACGTTCAGAAGTGATTCAAGGTGTATTTAAGCAAGCTTAGAAGCCATTGATCAACAACAAGAAACATCAAGCAACTAGAATCAAGAGAGAATCAAAGAGAAAGCATCAAACCTCAAGTTTGAGCATTTCAAGCCCATTTTCATTCAATATTCATTTTGCTTTCAAGAACACTTTTTGTGCTCAATTGTATTCATCTTTGAGTGTTCTTTTCTTTGTTCTAGAATTGTGCAAACATCTTACCTTGTGAGGTTTTCTTGTAAGTTTGCAAATTTGTAATCTTCTCTTTGAGAAAAGAGTGTTCTCAAGAGTTGGGGTATACTCTTGAGGGAATTGTAAGGTTATCTCTTTGGCCTCAAAAGAAAGAACAAATTAGTGAATTTGTTGGAAAATCCTTAGTGTGGATAGCTAAGGTAGTGGACGTAGACTTTGTTTGAGAAAGTCGAACCACTGTAAATCGCTGTGCAATTGCTTTCAATTTTCTGCAAAAGCTTCCACAAAATTTTTATTGCCAATTCACCCCCCTCTTGGCCAATTTCGTCATTCGATTAACTCAACAATAAGGCATGCATCGATGCATCCCATTAATAATAAAACATCGAATGTATTTTATGCACCGATGCACAAGTAGTGCATCGATGTATACCTTCATTAAAAGAGGAAATTGGCATTTATCTTAATCTAAAGAGTGAACCATTAGAGTATATTAGCTATAATACTGATATAGATCCATGTGTGATTATGTAGATACTAAAAGTAAGCTTATTCCGGAATGATCAAAGGATTAGAATCGAATCAAAGCAAAGCTAAGGTGAGTGCATAATATATATGTATAGTATAATGGAATAAGACTTGTGATAAGTCTAATTCCTATATTGATTTTCACAGTACAATAGTTGTGAACATGCATACATTATAATTATTGTAATACATGCATAAGACATATATATGTTCATGTGATTGGATAAATGATGTATATATATGAATAGATTCAAATACACATGTGATATGATATGTGATATGAGAACATGACATGAGCTACATGATCACAAGAGAAATGACATGAGCTACATGATCACAAGATAAATGACATGAGTACATGAACATATAAAATATAAGAATAATGCCCATAATATACGATATGAGAGCTATAGGTGTAATTGGCATGCCAAGAGTCGAGGGTATAATAGTCATTCGGGGATGTAGTAGTCCTACGGGACATATATGACAGTCCTTCGGGAAGAATACTAAACTAAGGTTCGGTGCCCCATGAGGGAATTGATACGAGCTGTGGTGATAGCATTAGTCCACAACCTCAATGCACTCATATACCTCTATTCTCAATAATATACATGGGCAATTGAAATACAAAGTAAAGTGAAAGTGGTACAAGAAGGTAAGTTTTGTACATGCATGATATTATTATATATGTTATTGTGTAATAGATATATGCATATTGAAATGTCATGAAGGAAATAGTAAGAATGCATATTCATGAAGATATTGTTGCATATTCATTTATTGCCTCACTAAGTCTATGACTTAGCGTGTAAGTGATTTACACGTAGATACCAAGAAATAAGAAGATTCAGAATAGCAGTGGCACGTACAACAACATTACTAAGAAATCAGATCAGAAGTAATTGACAAAGTAGGTATTTTGTTGTGTATAAAGTGTTGGTATGTAATAATTGGTTAATTACGAATGCTCTTATCGATTTTGTATTAAGTGGTCTCTTTTATATAAATTAAAGTATTTTGTTTTAATGAAAGTTTTAAATTCCCGGGATTTTTCTTTAAGAATCAAAGTTTGAAAAGTTAATGTGACATCTCGGACTTGTATTCGGGTCGAATATGAGTTAGGGGTGTTACAATAGGGTGTTTTTTTGTTGAGTCCATTGACTATTAAAAGTTACAAAATGGTCACACGGCTACTCATATGTTTTAAACTCATAATTTTCTATTAAAAATTTGTCGGTTGTTTGTGTTGGATGTTAATATGTTGACTGGAATATGATAAATCATATTTTAATGATGTTTACTAGCACCGCCGTTGTTTTCAAGCACTTGCTCGCCAGCATAATGTTTCAAGCGCTAGCTCGACAACTTAATGTAAAAGTTATGAGATCATATATTATCATATCTCAGTCAACATGATAACGTCTAGCTCAGACGACTGCCAATCTTTTAACGAAAAAGGATGAGTTTAAAAAATATAAGTAATTGAATAATCATTTTGTATCTTTTAATAACAACAAAGCAGTAATTTATAGTCGAATGACCATCGTATACTTTACCCTAAAATTAATTATACCTGTTGTGACCGTCGGCACACCCCATGGCGCAGCGGAAATAAAACTCGACGGTCTCACCAGCAATCCAAGTATGAAAAACTGAAATCGGAAGGAAGAGATGCGAATACTTACAGTGGGTTCCTTGAAAAACAACAAGGACAACAGTGAATACTGGTGGTATAGATCAGTTCGAATTTTAAGCCTCCATGAAATCACGTCTCGGCCTCTACTCAGTTCACCCGATTGAGAGCAATATTTGTTTTCCCCAAAACTCCTTTTGAGAGAAAACAGCTGAAGGTTTTGAGTGTGTTATGTAAAATGGTTGCTAGACCTAACACACCCTTTTATAGCCAAGTTACCCTAATCATATTAGGGTTTTATTATTTCAAATTAATTAAATCTATATTTAATTAATTGGAATTTAATAATCCTCTTATATCCAAGTTACCCAAATCATATTAGGAATTTTATTATTTGAAATTAATTAAATCTATATTTAATTAATTGAAATTAAATATTCAGGATTATTAAAACATATATTTAATTAACTCTAGATATATATTTTAGTAACGTACAACAAATTGTACATCTTTGCTCATTTCAATCCTAGGGTGTGACCTTGTAGGATCTTGTAACGTTAGCAGTAATTATTAGAACAATTCTAATATTACATACAATGAGTGACATCTAGCAATATATCATTGTCACCTAAGTTACAAGAAAATATAATTCGACATATCATCTTGGTGATTACTCTTTTATGTATTACATCCTTATGTCATTTATATCTAGAATAGGCACAAGTCTTGGAATAGTCACACTTGTATAGCTCATCTATTGTTTCTTGATATCTAGAGTAGACTTTAATTAACGAATAGTTTATGATATCTCATATCAACTTATTCGAGCATGACCATGCGTTTATAGTCTTACTCAATCAAGTGGCCTATGATATATTTCCTATTATGTAGGAAGGACAAATCCTTTCTTAATCATACACACCCACTACATATATTGAGATATATTCAATAACAGTCTTTATAGAGCAACCAATTACGGAGCTTGTTTAGTTGCATCAAAACATACAACAATATATGTTGGGATAGTATTGATCTCAAGTCTGAGGATCATACATATAGTCATCACCATGAGAAATGTTATGACTGTCACATAATAATCCAAGACATATGCTCATGCTCGGTTAATCCAATATATTGTTCTCTAACAATATAATCATGTATCAATTCTGACATCTCTATGTCAATGACAACTCATTGTCATCAATCAATAACATGTTAGTCTTAAGCGTATTATTATTGTCCATGCCCATAATAATACTTAACTAGGGATCTTTTAATAATAACAATTATGTCATTATATAGACTTATTATCTTCCAGTTTATGTTAAAAACATATATATAAATGAAAATAATAGCGGCAATGCCTTTATTCAATAAAATCGGTAAATAAAAATATTATTACAATCATCATATGATTGGTCTTTGGGTATACTCTAACAATACCTTCACTCTCGTAAATGCTATTTCACCGTCATTTGACTTTTGATAATTTTAACAAACATATACAGTAGAACCTTTGTAAATTAATACTCGATAAATTAATAACCTATCTATAATAATAATTTTTCTCGATCTTGACTTAAGCTTAGGATCTAAATTAATAATTTCGATAAATTAATAAGATAATAACTTTTCAGAAGACACTTATATAAATTCATGGTCCTTCAATATTATAAATTAATAATTCAATAAAATTGCAAATATAAATTAATTAGAAAAGTTTTATGTTCTTTATATAGGGGTAGATTACCTATACATGAACTTGCATTAAGTTTTAATTAGTATCACGTACAACAATGAATTTTACTTTTTTAGGGGTATGTATTATATTTAAGTAGTCACGCTGTATATGAACATCATTAAATTAGTCAAATACAATATATATGTTTTATTCATGAAGAATAATGTTAGTTCGTTGAATCGAAAAAAATCTCTTTAAATTAATAAATTATTAATTTATCGATTAATTAATACATCTTTAAATTAATAAAATTACATGGTCAAGACATAATAATTTATAGAGATTTTACAGTACATAAGTTAACGCACTAAAATTTAATCATCATGAAAATTTATTAATGATTTTATGAAATATGATTAAATTAAATCTTTTATTTTATAAAAAGAGAATAAAAATCCAAAAACAAACTCAAATCCTATTATCAATTTTAACAACCATTTATTATTACACAAAAAATTTGGCTTACAAAATGTAGACGGAGTTGGAGTTTATAAAATTTGATTGGTTAACCAAAACTAATAATTTATCAAGCATTTATTGCGCATGTGAAATCCTCCAAAGAAGACGGCAGCTTGTAAGAAAACCACACCTCAAAATAATACAAATTGAACTAAAGTGTTTTAGAGCAAAATAGCTGATAAGGCCTCAGTGGGTACACATCTTCCATTGTTCAAAGCTTCCATTAACAAAGTCATAGTAACCTCCTCTCACTATCATTGTTCCATTCACTACAGCGTTTCTCACAAATGGATAGCTCAGTAGATTCACCATCGAATTCCTCACTGATTCCTGCATGCATTAATGCATATATTCTTAGTCAACTGCATCGGCTTTTCAATTCCTTAACTATCCACATTTCCATGTGTTTTCATTACCTTTTCGCAAAGGGTTAATTGTTCTGCAAAAGGCAAATCTCCAGCCTCTTGCAGGACCTTCTTCTTTGCAGGCAAACCAATCTTCACCCACTCATCGATGAAGTCACTGCACAATGTGTTTTAATTATCTCACAAATGGGTGTTGTTTTGGACTATGGAAGTTTAAAAAGTAATGTATAGAATTAGGCTTACTAAGTCTGAGTGTAATCTGGAAGTGTCATAAGCCTCTCTATGCCACCACAACGACTATGTCCCATCACCAATATGTTATCTACCTCAAGACTTTTAACTGCATACTCGATGACTGCACCGATTTCAGTGTGCCTCAACTGTTCAATAAGCGATAAATCAAGTTAGCTGAAGAATCTTTAATCACTTAAAAATGGGGTTTGGGAAAGTGATAATAACCTGGTCGAATTGAGGAACCATGTTGCCGATATTGCGGCCTACGAAGGCTTCACCTGGCTTGAAGTTGAGAACGACCGAGGGGCTTACTCGTGAATCCGAGCATGCAATCACCAGAAACTGAGAACATGATGGATTGATTAATCATTGTTTGTAAGATGAAACCGTTGTTATTGACGAAGACGATAGTACCTTGGGACTCTGGCCTTTTGCAAGTTCACTGAAATATTCAGGATGTGCGCTGTCGGAAGCAAAACACAGAAGAAACAGTACCGTCATAAATGATTGTCCGTTGATGAGTGTTATTAGAGATTTAGAGTAGTAAGTTGGGCATGATATATATATCTTACTCAAATATGTTGGTCTTGAAGAAGTGAAAGCCATGGTCAAGCTTTTGAGCATCGGGGTCGTTAGGAGGGTGATGCTTTGTCCCATGGAGCTCGGCAATAAGCATCTCAACTTTTGCTTGAACCTCCTCATCCACCACTTGTTGCTGACTGCAACCCAACATATAATTTGATTGTTAAATGAGAACAATGGAGTTGGTTTACATATAAAGCTACGGTACGGTGGTGACGGGTGGAGGCGGCGGCGGAAATTGATTGAGACTGAAACATACATGGTATGAAAGAGAGATGGAAAGCACCTGATGAAAATCTTATTCGGCCCTTCTTCAACACCTACTTCAGCAGATTGCGTATCCATTTGGAAGCTTTGATTCCTTCCAAAAAAATTCCCCATGAAAACTTCAGTTAGTAAACTTTAATTCTGGAGCGAGAGGCGAGAGCAACAAAGTTAATTACACCTGCATGAAAGATATATACAGTTATACACGTACGTTCATGCAACAAAGTGTTAAACACTTTTCATGTGTATAGTACTTGTGTTTAGTTAAGCAACTGACCTTTTTCTAGTGAGCAGAGCTATGAACTCTTACGAAAAAACTGGATTAATTTGTAGACAATGGAAGATGATGGATGGGATTGTGTGGGGTTGAAGCTGCTATTTATAGGCATAGTGGTTTTGGGTTGTAATTATAAAATAGATGGCACTATTTGAAATGTAAAACGTTGCTGGTCATGTAATAAAATAACTTGGGTAAAGTAGTAAAGTAGACAAATGGTGTCTAAACTATAAGTTATTATTTTGTTGAGTATCTTAATTATTAAAAATTATAAAATAATTTCTCAACTAAAGCGAGTTGTTTTGTTGAGTCACTCGATACTAAAAATTACAAATGGTCACCCGACTATTCATTATATTCCAAATTCATCCTTTTTCGTTAAAAAATTAACGATCATCTGATATGGACGTTAACATGCTGATTGAGATATGATTGTCGTTTGAGATTATAAGGTCATATTTTATCCTATTTCAGTCAATAGGTTAAAGTCTAGCTCAGATTGCCGTCAATTTTTTAACGGAAAAAGGCAAGTCTGAAACAATACGAATAATTGAGTGGACATTTTATAACTTTTAATAGTAGAGGGACTCAACAAAACAACTGCCCATATAGTTAGGGGATCATTTTGTAAATTTCAATAGTCAGAGACTCTACAAAATAACATCCAATAGTTGGGGGACAATTTGTATACTTTACCCAAGTAACTTTGACACGGTTCATTTGGGACTGAGTGTCACGACAAGTTTACTTTCGCTACAAAAGCTAACACGTCTTTCCCTTTTTCAAGGGTTTTTTTTAATCAAAGGAATTCCTACTCTCAAGTCATCTTTTAATTGTTTCTCAATTAATCTTCCCACTACCTTCTATTTTCTCTTTGACGCAACATATCCTACCTGCCAAAGGTAAGTCTAAGTCGTACTTAAATTATGTATAATGAAAATTTCTAGAAGAAAAAATTAACATCTGTGAAAAAAAAAGAAATTCATCAAATAATAAAACTCTTAATCTTTATAATTTATTTTATAAGGATGATTATCAAATTATAAATAACTCTTGCATAGTAATAAAATTATCCTTAATTATATTATATATATATATGGCTTCTTTTAACTTTATTTTTAATAATTATGTCTTTATGATACATTTTCTTCTACTTTAATAATACGTTTTTCTCTATCTTTATAGCACGTATTTAGTTTTGGCCGTTTTTTTTATTTTCTTTCTTTTTCAATAATTAAATTTAATATCTTCACGACTGATCAAGTTTACACGTATTTATTATCAACTTATATCTAATCGATATTAATTTGATATATGAGCTTTCACATCTATTATCAATCTCTTTTTTTTTTATTTTGGTTTATTTATTTATCAACTTAATCGCAGCCCAAATACTTTAATCGATGTGAATAAAATTGAAGTCACAAACCTCATAAATTTAAAAATATCTATCTTTAGAAGGAACAGTATTGCTAATGCTATATTTTCTTAATCTTTTGAAAGCCTCACCGACATAAATATAGGGCTGAGCAACGAAATTGAGAAAATCGAAAAATCGATACGAATCGAGTAAAACGGTTCGATTCGATTCGGTTCGGTTTGGCTTTAAATGATTCGGTTTTTGGTTCGGTTTAAAGGTTTATTTTTTTGATTCGATTCGATTTGGGTTTTCCATATGGAACCCATTTGTTTCATATTGAACCGAATAGGCAATTTTTGTAAAAAAAAATTATAGTTTCAAGTGATTTTTTTATTGAAAAACCGATAAATCGAACCGAACCGAAAAACCCGAACCGTTAAAAAAACCGAACCGAACCGAAAAAACCGGTTTCGGTTTTTTCAGTTATTTAACTATTTGGTTTCGGTTTAAATATTGAAAACCCGTTTATTTCGGTTCGGTTCAATTTTTAGTAAAAAATCGAACCGAACCGAATACACCCCTACATAAATAGCTATTATTATTTAAACTAACACCTCATTAACATAATTAATTAGTCGCAAAGATTTAATTTAATTAAAAATGTTATTTTCTATTTTAGATTATCTGAATCAATTTAATTTTTTAGTCTAAATTTTAATTTTGGGTCAAGTCTAAATAATTAAAAAAAATAGAAAATTTAACTCTTGTTTTATGTGGTACGACGTGAGTGTTTATTTGTTGGTTTTTGCATTTTAATATGAAAGGATAAAGATGAGGAATCATCATAGCTGTAAAATTTTGACTTGTTGGACAAAATAACCACGTAGGTGTTGAATAACATCAGCACCTCTTTTATTACCGCTGACTCCATCAAATACAAGATTTCACCCCTAAACTTTGGGAACAAAAAAATATTATACGGATGACAAATAAATAAATTTCGTTTTAATTTTTTTAATTAATTCAATTCTTTTGATAATTTTTTAGGCTTAATATTTAAATTATACTCAAAATACAATTTTATATCTAAAGAATTTTTTTTTGTTAAAAATAAATGTTTAACTTTTTCTCCCTTAACACTTTTAGGTGACTGGGCTGTAACGGCCGTTAAAATTAGCCGTTAATTGACACGTGTCGTCATTATATTTTTTTGAAATTTTTATTTTTAAAAAACAAAAACAAAATTATTTAAAAAAACTCAAATGTTTTAAAAATATCAAAATGACCCATAAATTTTGGAAACCTAAATCATTCAACTCTTTTGTCATCCATTGTTGTCGGCGGCGACGGCCACATACCCACCGGTTTCCGACCTCCACTGCTTTCAAATCCCTTGTCGTCACCCCTAAATCAGTCGTCAAATCTACCACAGATTGCTTCAAATCGCGCGTAAAATTAAAAATAATTGCACGTAAATCACGTGCAAATCGATCGAAGACAATTGCTGGGCTTCATCCGGCTTTGGGTTAGAGATGGTCGGTAGTGGATTCCGTCGTCGGAATTTGATTAGGGATTTGAGAGTATTGGGGGGTTTTATGATTTTGGGGTGTTTTAAAAAATAATGAAAATATAAGGGGTTTTTTAAAATAATAATGATATTATTAATTTTTCTTAAATAAAAATTTCAAAAAAAAATAGTAGGGTGACACATGTCCGTTAGCGGTAAATTTAACATTCGACTACTTAAAATAGTAACGGAAAAAATATTAAACAGCTATTTTTAACAAAAAAAAAATCTTCAACATCGAATCGTAAATACAATTTAAGCACTAAAAAACTATATTAAACCTAATTTTTAATTGATTTGGCGCATAAGTAGTTCAACTGCTTCATATAAATCATATTATATAGTAATTTAAAAAATATATTAATTAAATTTTCAATTATCATTTATTGTTATTACTCTAACGTAGTGGTTTATACATATATTTATAATGATGTGATATATTACCTTGTTGAGTTGACTATTCAAAAGAAGCTGGCGTCTTGGAATTGTGTCCGCAACTGCCAACTGTATCGTAAAACACAATGTGAGATTAACTTATTTAACAAGTATTTTTCTAAATCTCATAATTTAATCATTTTGGGTTAGAGGAATGTTTGGGCTTAGTATTTTAGAATAAAATTATAGTAACAATATTCCCAATTATAAATGTATGAATAAATATCAATTAAAGGAGATGATCAGGTATGGAAGCGGCTTAGTTGGAGTTGGTTCGGGAGGTTACGGGCAATGAATTATAAAATCAGGTATCGTGCATGTGTGTTATTTCAGAGTCCCTTTGGTGGTTATAAAATTATCGGCTTAATATAAAAATAGCTGTCCAAAGTATATCTAAAACTGCTTGAAGAACTTTTCATTAAAAATATATATTTAACGTTTTAAATGTTACATTTTTTTGTGTTTGGACATTTAACATCGTTAAATTCAGTCGTTAAGTAACACAAGTCGGGTATGTAAAATTTTAAAAAATTTTAAATAAAATTTTAAAATTTAAAATATACGCCTAAAATGTTGGAAATGTTAGACGTCTATTTTTAACAAAAAATTCTTTAGGCACCTAAAGTTAACTTTGGGTATAGTTTGGACACTTATTTTTGCATTAAGCCAAAAAAAATTAAAAAAGGATTTGTGATTAAATTCCAAAGGCATATAGAATTACATCATATTTTATACATTCAAGTTCATCATAATAAAATCAGAACGGATTGAGTCTCGACAAAGACCATTTCGCCAAAGAATGCGCAACTCGATAGGTTTGTCGGTTGACATAGAAAATTTAAGGTCGCGATTTCTGGTTAGGGTATCATGTGTTTCGTTGAGCAACAACTTTTGATTAGTCAGTCTGTAAACAATGGAGATCGCACCCCTCAATAGTTGCGTTCGTCCATCCATTTTTAGTTGCTAACTTTAGCCCCTCTGTGCCGTGAAAGGAGGGTTAAGTTGTTGGCACTTACCTCCTACAACCATTCCATTATGGTCTCTAGCCACCACTCCAATTGTTGCTTTGGCTTCATTAGGCAAGAAGGCTCCATCAACATTTATTTTATTAGTGTTGGTCTGCGGGCGAGTCCATAATAATGGTCATGCTGGTCTTTTAGTGAAGGAGTGCAAGTCTCCTCGAGCATTTGCTTAAGTGAACTCAACGCGAAGTCCCCATGTCACGTTAACCACATATTATCCTCTTGCATCCCTTCATCACGAATCCATTTGTTTCTGTGATTCCACACATTCCAAAAGAGTACCAGGAGCTTGGAGAGTCCGTTAGTATCCAGCTTTGTGCCAGCCCATTTCAGCCAGTATTTGCATGAGCTTCCCTGCCAGTTAATTATGTTGGGGTTGAGCCCTGAAAAATGAAGAATATCTTCGGTCTTATGGCAGTCTTTGAGGGTATGAATAGCAGTCTCCAGGTCACATCCACAAATGGGGCAGCCCCCTTAAGATAGCCTAACCATTTTCGTTTTCTCCCATGTAGGAAGAGCTTCATGACATAATCTCCAGCCAAAAATCTTAATTTTTGGTAAGATGGGTAACTTTGTGAGCGCTTTCCAGATCTTTCCTTGTTCGAAAAATAGGTTTTTCTGGAGTAGAAGCCAGTTATAACCCGACTTCGTTGAGTAGCATCCAGTGTTATGGTGGCTCCACTTCAGTCTAT